TGGCTGATGTACATCATGGCATCCTGAGTCTTCTCATGCATGTATCTTGGTGGAGCTGTGAAGGATGAAGGCAAAATAACTAATCAGCCCACATTGTGACCATTTGCATCTCCTTCGGCATTGATGGCATCCCAGAGATGAGCATACTGTTCACACGCAGGCAGTTTTGATTCAGTTGAATGTAAAAAATGCGCTCACTCTCAATGTTGGCATACTCATCGACAACATACTGATGAAAGAGGTTGGCGCCCAATAATATGTGGTTTCCTCCTCTCTCCATGATCACGAAGGAATATAAGTTTATTTAGAGGAGACTGTTTCGTGAAGATGTCTTTGTCCTACAGCTTTGTAACTGGATGAATCTTGACGTGCTACCCATCTTGGCCTTGCGACAGGAAAATGTGTTTTTTGTAGGGCATCGTATGCTCTGTTAGTGTCAGGAAATCGTGCGATGGTGTTTTCTTGGTGTGGAAAAATAATGTCTCTTTCACAATGTTCCTCACCCACCGTAAGAAAGCAAGGTGAACAATATTTGGGGCATTGAACCTCCCTGCGTGCTCCCCGCTTTGGTGAAAGGTAAGGGTGCAGTACGGCCAAATAAAAATGGGTGATCTTCCCACCAATGTAACAAAACGATATGTGAAATTCAATGAGCTGTAGCTAAGAAAGTCCTACCTACTTAGCAGTATAACATATTAATCAGCATCGCAGTACTACGGATCAGTAAATAGCATGATGTGAGCAATCGAAACAATAGCAGTGCATTCAAGAAATAAGCTGAAATGAGTGTACATTAAAGAGCAGCAGGACGGACAGGTAAGTTGAGAAGCAGGCTACAGTCTAGATTATAGACTGCCAGTACGCCGACACAATGACATAAGCATTCATAATAAAGGTTTTTGGGTTAGATCGCGCTATTTATAAAGGTGTCGTAACCCTCCACCACCCGACACAGCCAAACATTAAAAAATGTGTCACGTTTACAACGGACAAATAGTTCACTACTTTAGCCCACCGGTGTGTTGAAGAGTGAATCAACATCATTTAAAATTTGAGTACGACGTTTCGCTGGTAATTACATCCAGCATCATCGGGCAATTCGCCAGAATGGTAAAGCCCTCACTTGCTCCTGGTCTTAAAAATTTAAATATTACATCCAACATATTTCAATATTTAAGACCGGGAGCAAGTGAGGGCTTTACATTCTGGCGAATTGCCTGATGACGCTGGATGTAATTACCAGCGAAACGTCGTACTAAAATTTTAAATGATGTTGATTCACTCTTCAACACACCGGTGGGCTAAAGTAGTAAACTATTTGTCCTATGTAAACGTGACACATTTTTTACTGTTTGTCCGTGTCGGGTGGTGGAGGGTTACGACACATTTATAGATAACGCGATCTAACCCAAAAACCTTTATTATGAATAATATTGGTCGCGAAAGCCTACGTGTTAAACTGACAAAAGCATTGTTACAGTCGACATAAAAAGCTGGCAATACAGTCAGCAGCTGAAAAAGCAGAAAACAGTGGACATGAAAGGCTGGCAGTACACTGAGTGAGGTAAAGAAGCAGGTAACATATTATGAGTGGCATACACTGATAATGGGCAAAAGCGAAATTAGCAGTATAGATAATAGAGTGCCAGGGCACTGACGTAAATTAATCAGCAGGCAGCAGGCCATATGACAGACTGGCAGAAAACCATGTCAACTTACTAGTTTAATAATAGTAAACAATGAACCTAAGTTGTTATCTGCACACAAACATTATTATTGTAATATCTGCCAACTTATTAGTTTAATCATAGTAAACAATGAACCTGAGTTGTAATCTGCACACGAACATAATTATTGTAATATCTGGCAACGTATTAGTTTCATAATAGTAAACAATGAACGTGAGTTCTTATCTGAGCACAAACTTTATTATAGTAATATTTGCCAACTTATTAGTTTAATGATAATAAACAATGAGCCTGAGTGCTTAGCTGCACACAAACTTTATTGTAATATCTGCCAACTTATTAGTTTCAAAATATTAAACAATGAAGCTGAGTTGTTATCCACACACAAACATTATTATTGTAATATCTGCTAACTTATTCGTTTCACAATAGTAAACAATGAACCAGAGTTCTTATGTGCACACAAAGATTATTATTGTAATATATGGCAACGTATTTGTTTCATAATAATAAGCAATGAACCTGATATATTATCTGCACACAAACATTATTATTTTAATATTTGTCAACTTATTTGTTTAATAATAGTAAACAATGAACCTGAGTTCTTAGCGTAAGAAGCAAGCAAATTTGTACTTACCATAGCCATGGTGAGGCCTTGTCCCGTGTGGAGCTCCCGTCCTGGCCGACATTGCCGAGGCGGCGGAAGTGGCACGCTGCCAGGCTGGGGGCTGGCCCGCTACCCCCGTACCCCCCTCCATCTCCCTGCCTGTGCAACAATAATGCTATCTAAGCACTATAATATTATTATGTACAGACTCTGTAGTATTAACTGCACGCAACGTGTTGGGGGGGGGGCGAAGAGGACATGACACTGTTAAGAAATAGCCACAGCGTTATGTGTATATTTATTGCATGTGAAATGCGTAAAAGAAAATGTCCCCCGTGAGCTCGACCGAACGCGCATCACTTGGCATAGTCCGCCCCCCCCCCACCCAATTGGCGTGAGTTGGTACGGCCGATGTCGCGCAATAAATACATAAATACTCTGGTTCTTTCGGTAAAGTCATATAGGTATAAAATAAAACAAAATAAATGTGTTATTTTAAAATAAAACAAAATAAATGTGTTATATTAAAATAAAACAAAATAAATGTGTTATTTTAAAATAAAACAAAATAAATGTGTTATATTAAAATAAAACAAAATAAATGTGTTATTTCATACTTACGTGACTTTACCGAAAGAACCAAAGAGTGCGGATCCCTGCAGTCACGAAAACTTGAAATCTAGAACTAAATAAAGATGCATCACACAAAAACGCGATTTTAACCACTTTATAGGTGACGGATGGGAAAACGGAATAGCCTATTTCCACTGCGGGGCTCGGGGGCGGCAATTTTTTTTCTACGTGAACCCCACGGTCCGAGAGCCAAACCCCCCGCAAGCGAGTGTACGCAGACAGACAGACAAAAAATGCCTTTTATAGGTTAGGTTAGACTAGCGGGAAGTACCCGGCGTTGCTCGGGTGAAAAATATATTTTAAAACTTTTCTTAAAAACCTTACATATACATACACAGATACTAAGCTATTGTGAAAGCCCGGTGGGTCGTTTGTCCATTTCTCCACCAACAAAATTATAAGAAGCTTGCACAAGGCCAAAAAGTTATAGAAAGTGGGGGGTAAATAGTTGATCTAAAAGGTTTCTGAAAATTATCGACCCACCTCACACATCATACACTCACTCACACTACCACTGACTCACTCACACATCATACACTCACTCACACTACCACTGATTCACTCACACATCATACACTGGGAGTGCCATGCTGCCAGCTGTGGCTGCAAGTCTGGTCGTACGTGTTATTTATATCGTTTATTGTTAAATGGGAGTCATAGTTCCTATGATTACTGTTGTTACATTGTTTTTATAACTTTATTTTGGTGATTTAGAAAACATATGGTTAACCTATCTTATGGTTGTTATTGTTTGACTTGCATCACGCTGGGATTTGAGCACACAGCGTTGTAATACGTTTTTTTAATTTGCTGGTTTATCCAAGATGTTTCTGTTGCGCGTCGTCGTTTCAAGACGATTCTAAAGTACTCTACAACCTTGGCGATTTAAAGAATCAATTCTTGGCACGCTCGGGTTTTATTTTATTTTAAATTAATGAGTTATTTTTTCATTTGTATGTTATGTTTTTAAGTTTTCAGACATTTTAAAATATATTTTCCCGACAGCAGTATATATCGACTCTATAGCACAAAGTACTCACCTGACAGAGTGCCGTGATGAGGCCTAGTCCTGTGCAGAGCCACCGGCCTCGCCTAGATTGCCCGGCCGGCCAAGGCTGTGGGCTGGGTCGCTACCCTCCCCGCCCCCGCGTGCTACAATAATCCTATTTAATCGCTATAATTTTAGTATCTACCGACCCTATAATAGTAAGTGCACACATTGGGGTGGAGGGGGAGAGAAGAGGACGTGACACTTTGATGAATTTACCTCAGTGTTGCGTGTACATTTTTTGCATTTTGAACGCGAATGAGAAATCCCCCCCCACCCTCCGGCGATGGCGTGCGTGCGTTGCCAGGGGCAACTCCTGTCAGCGTTTCGCGCATGCGCAACAACGAGCCGGGCAGCAAAAGTAAATAAATAAAGATAAATCGCACTAAATCGTTAATTAAACTACTTTACAGGTGACGGATGGGAAAACGGAATAGCCTATTCCTACCGCGGGGCTCGGGGCGTGCCGCCCGGCAAATTTATTTCAACGTAAACCCCACCCTCCGAGAGCCAAATCCCCCGCAAGCAAGCGTACGCAGACAGACAGACAAAAAATGCCTTTTATAGGTTTTCAAGTGATGCGATAAACCACACGTGGGGAGCACGCGTCCCGTACCGCGAGGGGCTCTGGGGGGCGCCGCAGAACGACTCCACTCCCTGTTCGCGTTACAGCAGCAGCTATCATGTTGAGCCATCAGGGCCCTCATATGAACACCTCGAGTTTTGTAACTGGAGCCTGGCTGGAACTCTCAGCCGCTTAGGCACGGGGATTGACAGTCGGTGCTGTGGCCGAGAACACCTCTGACAATCGGAAGGTTCAGAGTTGAATCCTCATTGAGGAACGATTCGACCCACTATCTCCCTGGGTGGGTAAATCTGCTTATTTGGAAGCTAGTTATGCTGCAGAGTACGACATCTGCCATGGGAAGGTGGAATATCCACCATGTGATCCCAATAAGCCGGCTTGAGTCAATGAACTCAAGTGCGACCCCCAGTAAACCGGATTGTGCTGCTGTGACAGATGAGAGATTCAAGAAGAAGACGGAGCAGGTGGAGATTCTGCTGGATGACCTGAAGAAGCTCACCAGGTGAGAGGGACATCTCCTCACCTGCAATGGGGTTCTCTGCTTCTTCACGTTTTAACTAAAGACAAGGAGGTGATGTTATCCCGGTTCAATGGTTACAGTGAGGAGTGCAGCTGATACGAATTCTATCAGTGTAAGACCGAGGCAGGGCATGTGGAGAGACCTAGGGTAGGTGCGGTGACACCAAGGGAGATACGGGAGGACACACAAGAGACACAAAGAGAGGGAAGGGTAGACATGGGACATAAATGGACTTTGAGAGAGACACGGGTGAAGGGACATAGCAACACTCAGGGAGGCATTGGGATACAGACAGTGATAGAGAAACATGGTAATTGAGGCCCTGGAAGAAGCACAGGGAGAAGGGAGAGAAATTAGAGATGAGAGGGATTTACAGGGAGTGTTTATGTTCAGACGTTTTCAGGCAATTTATCAGCACCCATAGACACCCATGCGCAGGAGGGGGCAACACTTATTCCCATATAGATAGAAGCAGATGTTCATTAGTCCACTTGCTCTACTGCCTTCTGGTGATCCAGGGTTTGGTCACTCGACGCCCACTGGAAGGAAGTTTCACAATATTTATGTGATCCACCAACCCCCACCTCTACAATGATGGATTACAAGCCACGTACATAGCCACCACCACCTAGCTGAGAGAGGTGAGAAAGATTATAGAGATGGAAGGGATTGATATAGAGATGGAAGGAATTCACGGGGAAAATGTAGAGAGATGAGAAAATGAACGAAACATGGGGGACTATTGAGCGACCGACGGCTCAGCAGTGCAGGCGACTGCCGGCTGCGTGATCCAGGTGGCACTTGTCGCTGAGTGCACTGCGTGATTTCAGCGCCCACCCCGGTTATTACCGCAACGTGTTCAATGTGTAGAGGTGCTAACTACTCACTGTTCGGTAACCTGCATTGCCACTAGGTATCAAAGGGGCAGTGCAGCGTTACCTCTGTGTGAATAACGGTTGGGGTCAGACAAGGTGAAGTGGATCGTAGCCACACAGTTTGGTAAGAACCAATCAGACAGTTCCACGTGGGAATGTGGGATTGGATAGACCTGGCCACAAACGGGTATAAGAAGGGTGAGCGCGCAGAGCGCAGGGAGTTCTCTCCCTACACGAAGACCGAAGCCCGGGCTGAAGATAGACAGGACCCTGGACCGAGCCTTCCAGCCCTTCTGAGGGCTAAGGCTCGGCGTATCCAGTGGTCAAGACCCACCGAGCCAGCGGTGGGTCAGATAGCCTCCCCTAGGTCCAAGTCAGAGGACTCTCGGATAGTGGTAGACTCAAAAGTCCCGCCAAGACAGGAGGCTGTACCTCCTTAGGTTAGCAAGAGACCTGTGTGTAGGTCCCGCTAAGTCCGGAGGCTGTACCTTCTTAGGGTATCGGGTGAGGGGACCGTATACCCCTTTGTGTATTATGGACTGTGTAAGAGAAGAAAGACAATAAACAGAGTGTGCCTCATAAGAAGTTTATTCGTCATTATAAACACTACAAATGTACAGACACATGGCGCCTGCTTCACAGTGGGCGGTAAAGATCCCATGGCGTCAAATTTAACAATTACAGAGCCCACAGATTACTCCATTGGAATTGACAGCAATCATCACCACCTGCTGTAAAACTTGGCAGGTCTCTCCTTAAAAATAGTCATGATACCCAGCGAGACTTTCCTGGGCAAACAAGCATGATAATAATAAACATAACACTGCTTAGAAGTTACATAACATCATATTTTAGGCATTTTTTTTCTTTGCATAAAATTTCCTTTTACAGTCAGACAAGACACTTTTAATTGAACATTAACATATCGGGTGGTCAGATTTAATCGATCACAATTAATACACCGAACTGAAAACACATATCAAACAAATCTATAATACTCTACATAAACATTAATTACATTTCTATCTATTACATTTGTGTATTAGCATTCTATTCGATTTTGAAACAAAGTAACTCTAATCCTACCCCTTGTTTTCCAGGTTTGACAATTCCACCGTCCCAACCCTAATGAGGATCCATGGTATCTATGATCCATACTACAAGGAGGAAAAATATGCCCTTGCAAGAGCCTTCCACAAGGAGGGGGGTATAGGTGGGTGCTGCTCCTCACTACACGGCACAGCGATTTCACTGCAACGATAAACTCTGCATCTCCCTGATGGACCTGGCTGTGCGCATCGCTGTTACGGGGACATGTGGGGTCCAAGGGCCTCAGTGTCACCACTAAGCAGCAGGGCCCCCGCTACCCAGGTTAGGGAAACGAGCTGCCCGGCCCAGCGCTCAGCCTGCAGGAGCTGTAGGGGAGAGCCGCGCTGCTCCTCACTGAGTCCTCGCCGCTTTAAGGCCCCATGCAGGGTGAGCTGTGACTCTCACTCAGCGTCTGATTCTCAGTACCAAGAGTTCCTCAGTGATTCCATTTGTCAAAAGAGCGAATTTTGTAGCTGGTGTGTCTTCAAATGAGATACCTGCTAGGTGTGAGTGTGACAGTTTTTGTTCAATATCCCAGATGTGGATGGCAGCTCTAGAGCAAAGCCCACACATAGGGGGAGAACGAGCATCTCTTGCTCCTCGCTGCTCCTGAGCATGTCTCCTCGATGACACACTCCCATGAGACATGTGATGCACTCGTGCTCATAGCAGTGGTGTCTGGACGAGTTCCTCCACGGCTTTGAGAAGCAGTGCTGCAGCAGATGCCCTTCGTGTGCCCCACCCAGGCTTAGGCTGTGTGCACTGTGCCCGTGTGGTTTACTGTGGCACATTCACAACTGGGCGATCCTCTGAGTGAGAATCCCTCACTCAGCTCATGAATTGAGCCTCGTGGCCTCTCTGTGGCCTCTCTGTGGCTGTGCCTCAGGCCCCTCCCACATTCCCTCTCACCCTGCAGTGCCACTTCCTCTCCTCCCTCACCCTGCATTTGCCCTGCAGTGTCACTGCCTGTCCCCACTCACCCTGTATTATCCCTGCAGAGTCACTTCCTCTCCCCTCTCACTCTGCATTAGCCCTGCAGTGTCTCCCCACTCACCCTGCATTAGCCCTGCAGTGTCGCTTCCTCTCCCCACACCGGGTGCAGAGAGTCACATGGACCAGGCTCGATGTGAGCTGTGAGCCTTCTTTCCGATGATGGGGATTGATTCGCAACTTGTCAATTTTCGTGTTCAGGTTGGTGAGCCAGTGGTTGGCTTTTGGAGTAACCTGGGGAACATCTGAAATCCCTCCAGTGAACGATCGATGAAGGCAGTGATGTATGACGTGGTCCGTGGTTTTAGACTGGTAACCACAATCACACTGTGGACGATTCTCCATTGTCCACGGGTGCAGATCGCTGCATTCAAATGTCCAGGTGCAGTTCAATCTAGGTGACTGCGGAGTGAATGAACATCATGAGAGCATGAGAGCAAAGTGAACGCGTCTGAGTGCAGCGCAGCCACGAGCTCCTACGTCAGCACAGGTGCTGTGGTTTCTCTGTACACAGCCATGGACAGTCGTGCTAGACAGCTAGAGTCACGTGGTCGATAGCACATGTACACTCTCAGCTGTGCTCATTTGAGTCAGGTTCACGTTGCTGTTGTCTGTGTATTTTCACAAAATGTAAACGCTCTTCCGAGGAACAGCAAAAAGGGCCGCAATTTGCTGTAGGGAATTAATGTATTGCACGACAAATTAAAGGTGTACAGTCACAACAAATATGTTGATTCTTAAAACACATGACCCTGTGTAATTTTTCACATTATACAGACACGAGTACTGTGTCTGATGATTCTCGTCGTCTCTCAGAGCTCTACATGAAGATAATGATGTCCATCTCGCCAGACGCCTCCAACATCCCTGACTCCCTACGGAGACTCATGGAGTGGAGCACCGACAACGTGCTGCTTTATGTTAGAACCCATGATCCGAGTGAGTACCACAACCCACACCGGGGATTCCCGTGAACCGTACCGCATCCACACCGGGGATTCCCGTGAACCATACCACAACCAACACCATGCATTTCCGTGAACCATACCTCACCCACACTTGCGATTCCAATGTACCGTACCACACCCACATCGAGGATTCCCATGAACCATACCACACCCTCAATGAGGAATCCTATGAACCGTACCGGACTGGGCATTCCCGTGAACCTTCGCCCCTTGAGCTGTGTGCCTTAGTGCAAGTTCAAGTTTCCTGCACCACTAATCTGAAGCTGTCACTCAGCCAGTGCCTCCTGTACAGTCCATGTTTAATCTGTGTTCATACTGAAAAATCTTAATTCGTACTAACTCATCAAATACCAGACTGTGCAGACACACAGTGAGAGTACTAACACAGTGAGAGTATTGAAGCAGAGTGAGTACTGACACATAGCTTGAGTACTGAGACACAGTGAGTAATGACATTCTGCAGTCCTGAGACACATCTGCAGTTTACCACTAGGTGGCGCCGACAGGTCACGGGACAGACCCAGGTGCCATGGGGTGACTGAAACGACTGGTAGATGTTCAACCTGTGCCCACTGCTTTGCCAACATACTGCACGTTAGCTGCCCAGCGCTCCGCTCGTAATGTGAGCGTCACTCCTCTGCCGTCCGCTGTTGACACAGAGTACTGACACACAGCGAGCACTGCCACACAGTGAGCACTGCCACACAGTGTGATTGCTGAAACATAATGTGAGTACTGACACCGTGAATCACAACACACAGGGAGTACTGACACAGAGTGAGCACTATTCTGCTCTTGCACATGGCGATATGTCAAGGAGCGAAATATCAACGTAGAGGTCTGCTAGCCATGAGGGCTTCAGGAGAGAGTGGTTTACTGCAGTGCTACTGTACCCCTTGTTGATTTGTATTGCAACCAGTTACCCCATTGCCTCACCAAAAATGGTTCTTAGAAATAAAGGCCAGTAGGGGGGGGGGGGGGGGCACACAAACAGTAATTACAATTCAATGGTAAACTTGGCCTTGTCTTTCACTAGAGAGCCTCGTCATCCTGGGGGGCAGTGAGGCTACTGCATTTTTATTGATCTGGGTCATTGCATTCAAAGATGATTCACACAGGTATGCTGATCCAAAAGGTATCAGCTGATTCAAAACATGCTTCCCTCCTTCTGAACTAAACACAACTGAGAGTGTTAAACCATCAAATCTCATCAGCAGGCCACGATCTGAGGACACTTCCAAAAGTGTTTCCAGAAGACTTGGAGGAGAGGGTTACTTCTGTTGTTTTCTGGCAAAACATGATTTTGTACTCAGTCCAACCCAACAGATCTCTCCTCAATGTCAGGGAAGTATGACTTGAAATCACAAGTTAGGTTAGCCAAATGTGCCTCTATTATTGGCTTAATTTGATCTCTCTCAAACTCCTCATTGGAAATGTTAGCATCTATTTACTATTTTACTATTTTTATTTTACCAAGTAAGGCCCACTGAGCTACGTAGCTTTTTCAGATGCGACCTGACTACAAATCATAGTTCAACGAAATTGATAGCAGCCAAATACTCAAGGAATGTTTCTAAATGTGGAGGGAAACACCGGAGGACCCGGAGAAAATTGCACATGACCACGGGGAGAAAAACATGCATATTCCAAATATACAGGCGTCAGGGCCAGGATTGAACCCACGACCTCCTGCGTACTAGGCAAGGTAGTTAACATCTTGCCACCCTGACACCTGAGGGAAGCAAGTAGAATTCAGCTTTCTTGATTTTAACCACCGACTTTGCCATATGCATTTAAAATGTGAGTATGATTGCCTTGCAGGAACAGATTCAGTTTGTTGAGCTTGATGAATACATCTGTAGTGACTGGGAATGTCACTGTGTGGTGCCGGGCCTGCGAGGCTACGGCAGAAGATGCATCAACGTCCCGTACACCCCGGTAACGGGGTGTAGTACCAACCCTTTTGGGGGCTTGGGAGAGCGTTGGATAGCGCGATGGCACCAAGCACAGCGTGCGGTGCGGGCTCCCGCTTGAGGGAGCAAGAGAGCGTCAGCCCAGCCAGGGTTACATTGGTTGATGATACTTTGGCTGACCTGTGGATACGTGACCGGACGATACTGGAAGGGGGCCACAGGTGGAGGGGGCCAAAGGGTGGTCACATGGTCCGGGAAGAGCTTTTGAGAGCCTTCGGGTAAGGGCGAGAAAGAATTGACACGACCTGAAGTGGGAGAGCTTTCTCTGAAAACAACTCAGCTAGCTTAAAGACTTAAGGCACTGGTGTTTCCTGTTGAGATGCCGTTACAGATGGGGCGGCTTCATGCTCTTGTTAGCCACAATCTCTCTGGACAGGAAGTGAAGAGGTTGCGGAGGATCGGAGGTGGTGGAATATGGAATATTCTTTGCGAAATTGGTGGCATTTTGTGGGCTCTGTTCACCTGTTTTGCCGTTTCGGCTTCTTTGTCGCTACTTTCGTCTTTATTGCTGAGAGTAGCGCATTTTCACCAATCATCCATTGTGAGGTTTCCTAACTAGCTGGTAACGGCAAGCGAATAAAACATCATCAGACTCTCTGCATGCGTTACGTAGTTTGTTCGCGCTCGCTGGTTACTCTTGGAAACCACATTGTTTACAATCAGTGAGTTCAGAAATGTATTTTATACCGTTATAGATTACCATATGGATTAAAAATTATCCGTGTTTTATATTGGCAGAATCAGACGTGATTATTCACCAACGACTCATGTACAGTGAGGGAAAAAAGTATTTGATCCCCTGCTGATTTTGTACGTTTGCCCACTGACAAAGAAATGATCAGTCTATAATTTTAATGGTAGGTTTATTTGAACAGTGAGAGACAGAATAACAAAAAAAATCCAGAAAAACGCATGTCAAAAATGTTATAAATTGATTGGCATTTTAATGAGGGAAGTAAGTATTTGACCCCTCTGCAAAACATGACTTAGTAGTTGGTGGCAAATCCCTTGTTGGCAATCACAGAGGGAGGTCAGACGTTTTTTTGTAGTTGGACACCAGGTTTGCACACATCTCAGAAGGGATTTTGTCCCACTCCTCTTTGCAGATCTTCTCCAAGTCATTAAGGTTTCGAGGCTGACGTTTGGCAACTCGAACATTCAGCTCCCTCCACAGATTTTCTATAGGATTAAGGTCTGGAGACTGGCTAGGCCACTCCAGGACCTTAATTTGCTTCTTCTTGGGCCACCCCTTTGTTGCCTTGGCCGTGTGTTTTGGGTCATTGTCATGCTGGAACACCGATCCACGACCCATTTTCAATGCCCTGGCTGAGGGAAGGAGGTTCTCAACCAAGATTTGATGGTGCATGGCCCCGTCCATCGTCCCTTTGATGCGATGAAGTTGTCCTGTCCCTTTAACAGAAAACACCCAAAAGCATGTTTCCACCCCCATGTTTGACGGTGGGGATGGTGTTCTTGAGGTCATAGGCAGCATTCCTCCTCCTCCTCCAAAAACGGCGAGTTGAGTTGATGCCAAAGAGCTCCATTTTGGTCTCATCTGACCACAACACATTCACCCAGTTGTCCTCTGAATCATTCAGATGTTCATTGGAAAACTTCAGACGGGCATGTATATGTGCTTTCTTGAGCAGGGGGACCTTGCGGGCGCTGCAGGATTTCAGTCCTTCACGGCGTAGTGTGTTACCAATTGTTTTCTTGGTGACTATGGTCCCAGCTGCCTTGAGATCATTGACAAGATCCTCCCGTGTAGTTCTGGGCTGATTCCTCACCGTTCTCATGATCATTGCAACTCCACGAGGTGAGATCTTGCATGGAGCCCCAGGCCGAGGGAGATTGACAGTTCTTGTGTTTCTTCCATTTGCGAATAATCGCGCCAACTGCTGTCACCTTCTCTCCAAGCTGCTTGGCAATGGTCTTGTAGCCCATTCCAGCCTTGTGTAGGTCTACAATCTTGTCCCTGACATCCTTGGAGAGCTCTTTGGTCTTGGCCATGGTGGAGAGTTTGGAATCTGATTGATTGCTTCTGTGGACAGGTGTCTTTTATACAGGTAACAAGCTGAGATTAGGAGCACTCCCTTTAAGAGTGTGCTCCTAATCTCAGCTCGTTACCTATATAAAAGACACCTGGGAGCCAGAAATCTTTCTGATTGAGAGGGGGTCAAATACTTATTTCCCTCATTAAAATGCAAATCAATTTATAACATCTCTGACATGCGTTTTTCTGGATTTTGTTGTTGTTATTCTGTCTCTCTGTTCAAATAAACATACCATTAAAATTATAGATTGATCATTTCTTTGTCAGTGGGCAAACGTACAAAATCAGCAGGGGATCAAATACTTTTTTCCCTCACTGTATGATATAATTTCACGCATTTATACATTACCTCACGTACCCCCAGGGGTCCACGTACCATGCCTTGCAGTTTGGTCAATGTCTCTGTGGATTTTGGTGGCAGTATGTTTACCAGAACAGGGAGCTAGGGGACTGGTGTCAGTGTTCCGGGTGAGTGCTGACACATTGAGTCATGACACAGTGCGCATTGACACAGTGAGTAGTGACAGAGTACGGACACAGTAAGTAGTGACATGCAGTGAGCATTGACCCAGTGTGAATACTGACACAGAGTGATGACACAATAGGAGTTCCGATAAACTGAGTATTGACACAATCTGAGTACTGACACAATCTGAGTACTGACACACAATAAGAGTACTGATACGCAGTGAGAGTACTGAAACACACTGAGTATTGACAAACTGAGTACTGACAGTGAGTAATGACACAGTGAGGGTGCTGACACAATGTACAGTGAGGGAAAAAAAGTATTTGATCGCCTGCTGATTTTGTACGTTTGCCCACTGACAAAGAAATGATCAGTCTATAATTTTAATGGTAGGTTTATTTGAACAGTGAGAGAGAATAACAACAAAATCCAGAAAAACGCATGTCAAAAATGTTAGAAATAGATTTGCATCTTAA